TTAAATCTTCAATAAAGTTGAGGAGAAAGATGTACTGTTTAAAAGCAACAGGTGTTGACAGTGAAACCAACAGGCCGATCCCTGGAGTCCTAGGAAGAAAATGCAAGGGTGACAGAGAGCAGCCTAGACCAAGAGGTCACCTTGGAGGATTTCGATGGGACAGAAGGTTCTAAGGAGCCAGCCCCTTGGTCTCATCGCTCAGTAGCTTCTGTTGCTACCACTTCAGTGCCCCACCCCCCATATCCCCAGTGGGAACCACAAAGAGGCGACAGCCCCTCACACACCTCCCCCTGCTGATGACATCTAGGAAGAAGCAGAGAGGAAACCTGTGCTTCTGTTATTTCAGGGGGAGGGGAAATAGTTTTCAAATTGCCTCATGGACTCCATCTTATTTGGTTCTTGCAATAACAACCCAGGGACAGATGAAAAGCAATTTTTACTATCTGCCCCCGCCCCCCTTTCATTTAAAGACACTTGGGGCTAAAAAGATACCTGGGAATTGTCCAAGGTCCCACGATCGGTGAGAGTCACCAAAGGTAGTATTGGTTTCACCATCTCTTCCTACTTCTTGGTTCGCCCACGATGGTTCCACGCGATTAAAATGAGAACTCTTTCTTGGGTACCTCACGGGTTAGATGGTCTTTTGAGAACTGGGCTGACCTGGGAACTAACCGTCAGGCATGACTTTATTAGAAAAATTTGTTCTGGTTTCTAAACAACTGATTTACATACGGCGTCTTAGTACGCAGCTCATTTTAAATCGAGGACTGCCCGTACAAAGCTTCTAGCTTCCAAGGATAGAAAGATAATCCTTTTTATTTTTCCTGTTCTGCTTTTGGAAACTACCCACAAGGGTGCCAATTAGCACCAGATGGGACAGGGACCGTGTGATGTGGAATAGAACTCCAGCCACTGGGAACTGGAATGAGGCCACGAACGTATTAAGCAACGAAGGAGCCAGAAGTCGGGCCGGACTCGAGCTGGGCGCGACGTCGAGTCCCGGTCTGCGAAGGCCCAGATGTCCCTTCTCCACTCACTGCCTGCGAGAAACAGCGAAGAAGCCCAGAGAGCGGAAACCCCGCGCCCTTGGGGCATAGCCTTTCATGGGCCTATTTCCCTCTGAATCCTTTCTCCAGGTTGAACTTGAACTAATCTTTACAGAATAATTAAGTAAAGGTGCAAACGCCTGTTGTCTCGGAAACTTAGATTTTTTTTAAGTATATCGTCCTTACTTCGCTGTCTTTACATTTCTGACATCTCGATTTTTGAAATTATAACTGTATATACAAATCCAAGTGTGGGATCGAAGTGTCGGACGGGTACCTCGAACTTAAAGGTAATTCAGACTGAAATGGCGTATGTTTGCTGAAAACACGTAAGCGAAGCAACAGGAATGTGTGTTGATATTATGCGGATAAACGCCTATTCTTTCTCACCTGGCTAGTTGTGCGCCTTGGATGAAAATGAATAGACGTCCGGCACAGCGTATTTGGCTTTCTGAGTTCTGTTAGTTACCACTCGTTACATAATTCATCAGCTTTCCCAAGCAGTGACCAAAGTCACCTGGAAGACAGCTGAACACAGACAATTTGGACAGAGTTTTGTTTCCGCTTGATACAAATCTGTGTTTAATAGAAACGATCTCAGTTAGGCTTCGTGCATAAAATGAGTGAGCTGGATTTGCATAGTTCTTCTTGACTTTTGTCCCGTTATGGCACACATAGAAAGTATTATTTTGCAGAGCTCACTGGGTAATAATAATAATAATAATAATAATAATAATAATATAGCTCATGGCCAGAGGAAAAGCACTGAGGGCCAGGGGCACGGTACGCCCTTCTCGGCCGACCCAAGAGCAGAGGGGATCCCTCTGTCAACACCTAGAACCCGTCGATAGACCCCCAGTGTGTCAGCACTGACCACTGGGCACACGTAGGTGGCAGCTCCGGGATAAAGGACACTATGAATCCTCTGGGGATTCCATAGCTACTTCGTAGCACAAATTCCCTGGGACCTGCCACTGATGTGTGATTTGGGCACCATGGCCCAAAGCCTCTAGCTCATCAGCTGGTCCCAGAATGCGAGTGTCTCGGCTGACAGCATCGATAAGGCACCGGATCCTGGGGTCGCCAACTGCCTCAGCTCACCCAGGACTGAGAGGTCTCCCTCAGTGCTAAAACCAGGACAGTCCCAGGCAAACCAGGACACTGGGTCCCCTACCTGCTGTGTGTTAAAGTATTCCCTTAAGGAACCAGAGAGAAGAGGAGGCACGGTCCTGCTCTCATGGGCCCGCACATGGTCTTCCCGGGCCGTCGGAACCAGAAGTAGCCATCCTGTGAGTCGGTCACTGAGTCCGGTCTATGGTTTGTTAAGCAGAAACCTATGATTTTTCTTATGAAATGTTTCGTTTGTTTTTTTTTTTTCTCTAGAGTTGTTTTTGCCAGTTCGAAGAGGAAATAGTGGGCTGAAATCAAGTGGCATGACCGAATGACAAGTGCTAAGCGAATGAGTCGTGCCGTTCTTGCTAGAAGCAGCGGAACAATCGTGGTTCTGACATGATTCCCTCTTGCCTGAGAAACTCATCAACATGGCCTCGAGGCTACACGTTTTTTTCAGCAGCTGCTGATCCTTTCATTTAATTCTAAGCCACAAGTAAGCTTTTTAAAGAGGCGATGTGTATACCAAAGACTGTCCAGAGGACACTCTGTTCACAAAATTTAAGACAGTCAGCACTGTTGGAATTACATGTTCTAATACGAGATGGGTGGATTGGTGTGGGAGAAACAGGAGCCACCATCCCCCCTCCTCCCCCACCCAGACTTAAACCAAAATTGTTTTTGAGGTTCAGAAATATTCACATGACAGCTTTCTATGTTTGGCTAAAGCAGACTAAACTACAATGCCAAGAAAATGGTTTCTTCTATCTTTTTCTGCTAATACAGATCCCACAGGACTTAGGAGCCTCCACGGTCCTGGCTGCCCACGCTCACGCACAGCCACCGTTTCATTGCTAACATTTATTGCACACCTGTTACGTAGACAGAACCAAACTTTGTCCCGAAAGGAAAGAGGAACGAGTAAGAAGAAATCGTGCCCTTGATGCACACACCATGTCCTGCGGGAAAAGCCACCTTGCCTAGGTGGCAGAATCAAATCCACGCAACAGAAATATGAAAACAGGAAAAGAGGAAGAAGCGACTTCGGCGGGGTAGGGTTCACCGTGCCGGTGAAAGGGATGACATCTGGAGGTCTGAGGTCTAAAAACGAACCACGGGGCGGTGTCTCTTCTCTTGTGATAGCCACAAAGACAAGCATGCCCTTGCTCCCCCGATGACCGTATCACACAAGAGCTCCCTTTTCTGAGTGGGCATTGACCTTGAGGTCAGACTTGGAATTCCATCTCTGCCGTGTATTAGCTACGTGACTCTGGGTTAACTATTTAACTTCTCTAAATCCATTCCTATACCGTGAAAAGGAATAACAGAATAGTTTTATTAATGTAGAAAAGGCAAAATGAAATAGTATCTGTAACGTTGCCCTAGAGAGATCAGATCCGTATACAGATAGATATTGAATTCTCGGGGCCCCTTCTCATCTCTTTCTGGTTGCCCATGAAGCTAACGATTACTCTAAACTTAAAAGTAATTGAGGTGGAATGACTCGTACTGACCTCGAGGGCAGTATGTAAAAACTCCCATTTCTTCTATTGTTAGGGAAACCAACTCATGCATTTAAAACTTAGAGCTAGTCAAATTCGATTCCTTATTTTAGTATAAATATCTTCTTATATGGGAGATACAGAGCTAACGATGGATAGAAGGGATTCTGGAGAGAAAAGATATTTAAGTACACAGACAGCACAGAAATCTAAAAATGCAAGCTGGAATCTTATCCCAAAAAACTCAATTCTCGTAACTAAACAGAACAAATTGCATTTTTAATGGCCAATATTCCAGGAGAAACCAGTACTCCTTACCCTTTTACGTGTCTTCGGGCGCTGATATTCGCTCTAATGTAAACAGAATGTTTGCTGGACGGACCAAGCACCACTTAATAGGACACGACTTCATTCTGGTGGAGAAATTGTCTAAGGTTATTGAAATATGACTTTTGCAACACGCGCGGCATTTTGGCACGTGATAGCGATGGGACTGCAATAATTTTTCTTCCCCCTCGACGTATTTCAGACACTTATTTGAAATCTAAAATGGGGAGAACTAAACAATGATTCAGGGTGACCAGGTGGAATACGGTGTCTGCTTTCCCCTGCTTCAGCATCGTTTTCACTACTTGATTCTCCTTACTAATAGTAACATTTTTTTTCTTCCGAATACCTATTTGCAGCTTTTTCGTTCTTAATTAGTATCCATCTTTAGCAAAGACGAAAAAACTACGCTCTTCATATAAGTGCAAAGACGATCTTCCGTTCTCTTTCCGACTCAAACGTGGAAGGGAGTCACAGACTAAGAAGAAGAAAGAGATACACAAGTGACAAAGGGAAGGAGAAGAGCGAGCGATACCTCCCCGCCAGCCCTTTTTTGGCCCACTTTCCACTCTCTCCTTCAAGTCTCTGCTCAGTCACAAATCCGCTGTGGGGAACTGCTATGTTTTCTACCTGGTTTCCGTTGCATTCAAGAACATCCGCGCCCAGAACACTTTTCGGCGTGTGACTTAGAAATTTCAGGGGCTGAGACAACCCACCGGGTAAAAGTGGTAGATAAGTAACAAATCACATTTTTATCAAGTCTTTTCGTTTAAGTATCCACATCAATTTCCTTGTGCCGAATGAGTCAAATGCTTACAACTCTGGTTCTGTCATACTTGGCAGAGTAACACTACATTTATTGATTTTTTTTTTTTTATGGTCAAGAAGAATTCTATGATCTTCAGCAAATTTACCTCATTACTGGCTCCCTCTCTTTGGGATTTTACTCTAAATTATCACAATGTCCATTGTCATCAGTTTAAGTGGTGGTTATAGTAAGCCTATCATTTTTATAAAAATGTTAAAATTCCTTTTAAAAACACATTTAGGGGATTAACTAGTGAACACAACAAATGTTTGGAGAAAGTCACCTATACCTATTCATTCATTTATGTATTCATTTATACAACACTATTTATCGGGTTACTATATACATAGTTATAAGCATTGGGAATACAGCGGGGAAAAGAGAAAAGAAAAATACCAGTCCCTCGTATCATGAATATTATAAAATGTCGTGAGGAGACAGACAGTGAGCACAATAAATAAGTAGATTAATAGCATTTCAAAAGTGATAAGTGCTATAGAGAAAAATGACAGAATAAAAGGGATGGAAGGTGCTGGATGGCAGGAGTGTAATTTTTAAACAGGATGATCATGGGGATCTGAGAAGACGACACCAAGCAAAGAATTAAAGGAGATGCAGGAGCCAGCCAAATGCATAGCTGCAAAATGACTGCTCTAAGCAAAGACCCAGAGGTGGGAGCACGCAGTGTGCTAGTTACAAGATGTGATGGTGAACTTTATGTGCCAACTTGCCTGGGTTAAGGGATGCCCGGATAGCTGGTAAAATGTTATTTCTGAGTGTGTCCGTGAGAGTGTTTCTGGAAGAGGTGAGCATCTGAATCAGCAGATTGAGAAAAGATCGCCTTCACCGGCGCAGGTGGGCATCATCCAATAAGAAAGGCAGAGGAAGGGCGAATTCACCCTCTGCGTGAGCTGGGCAGCCATCTCCTCCTATGCTCCGATACTGATACCGCTGGCTCTCGAGTGTTGGGAGTCACATTAGGACTTAGTGCCATCAACTGCCCTGGTTCTCAGGCTGACTAGGAGACTGACTGGCAGCACCAGCTGTGCTGGGTCTCCCGCTTGCAGATGGCAAATCTTGGGACTTCTCAGCCTTCATAACGGTGTGAGCCATTTCCTATTTCCTCTACTAAATCAAGAGAGAGAGAGAGATTATTATTATTCCATATTATTTCAGGCTGTTCAGAGAATCGGAGACACGATTTTACCATAGCATTTGAAAATCAAGCTCATAAAATATGTTCCAATAAAATATTACTCTATTTCCTTCACGTTAGGCTCAGAAGAATTTTATGCTAAATGAGATCAGTGTTCCCTTTATTTAGATTTATGGTATGCACAAAACATAACAATATGACAACAGAGCAAGTATCATTATTCAAAATCAAGTTATTAATTTTTATTTTCCATTGTAATATAATGCATCTACACATACAAACACTGAGATGTTTGCTTTTGGGAAAAAAGTAAAGGTTGGAATATATAAACATTGTGTAAGTTATGATATAAAGTTACATTTTATGGGCAATTTTATTAGTCTTATATCCATCAGCCAAAAGTCTCAGGTGCTTAGGTTGGTGGAAAAATAAGCTACTGTCTGTAGAGTTTTCAATAAAACAGTCAAAAAAGAAGTCGATGTTAAAGAAAAATTGACATAAAAAAACTAATATTATTTTAGAGATTCAATGATTTTTTTCTTTTTACTTTATATCATGCACATTAGACTACTTTAATAAGTTTAGTTCTCTCAAAGGATTTAGGTTTTTCCAAAATATCAATTTGGTCTTCAAGGCAGAGTTTAAATTAAGATTGAAAAGTATATTTTTAAACTCTTATAATTGTTAATTATTTTTAATCATGTCTTCATTTGACACTTTGCTTATCTGCATGAAAAAAAACATCGAAAAGACAAAAACGGTAGTAGAAACTGATCCTTGAATCAGAAGGAAAACGAACATTTTTAAAGGAGACTGTAAGTAAAACTGATATAGTCATCTTTTTCCAAACAAAGTAGGAGAATTAATTGCAAATAATTAAATTGGGTTTCTAGGTTGAATGATAACTTTTGAGGGCTGACATCTGATCACTGAGCTCACCTATCCAAATAAATGTAGTATTAGTTGGTCTGTTTTTCTTTCATTATGTTCGAAGCTAGGAAAATCTAGATGGAATAACCAGCTCTCACTGAAAACTTGTTTCTTTCCACTGCAAATGAGCTAATATTCTTTACCCTTTCTTTCTACGTTTGAACAAAACTCTAAATAAGTTTTACGTTTCTAAAATTTACATACACATGCCCATACACACCTAACCCAAGAGTAGATAAAGTTGAACTTTAGTAACCTCCTTAGCTTGGAGTCAACTCATAGCACCCCCTTGTCAAACCAAGACTCAGGGACCTGCACAATGACCTGTGGGATCCTCTCTTGTCTCTCCTCCATCAACCTTGTCTCTCTGAGAACCATGTTCTTTCAGTTCTGCTAGGCGGCTGGCTCCTCTGCTCAAGGTAGCCCATGCAGACATGACATTGGCATGTTTTCTCTAACATGACAATCATCACCATGGCTTCCAGGCAATTCCCATGGTCCTAAGAGAATAAAGTAAAACAGGAAGATCCTGATAGCAGATCGGAGAGTGTATTGACTGAGCCAGTAAAATCTTATTAGAGAAACAGGACCAGAAAGACAAGGAAACATCAACAGCAAACATTCTCATCGACTTGGACCAAATATACTGGATGCTGAAAAACCTTCTGACTTTAGTCCCAAAGAATGCTGGAGAGACTGAGACTGGCAGGCACTTATTTTAGTTAATTTAGTTAATACAAACGTGTAAAAGTTTTAGACCAAAAACCATTAGTCTCCTTCCACCTTGATCCCCAGGCCTATCCACAGAAATAAGTACTGTTTGGAATAACTATGTGTAGGTATTCTATGCTGTACAAAAGGATGCATGTATGAGATTCATGTGTGTTTGAGTGTGCGTGTAGTACACAATATATAGGGTACTATATACATTACACAGAAAATACAGAATTTTATATATAATATACACAGTTATATACACGTGAATATTGCATATTTACGGATATATGTGTGTATGTATATACATAGGCACTATAGGTTGGAGCCACCCTCTGGAAAATCTAAGCAAACAGAGTCAGTGGTTATACCAGGCGAGCAAGTCATCGTATTGAGTAAGAAATACACACTGTGGCAGAGGGTGAGTCGGGATGACCCAGCCCTGGTGGTTGTGCCTCTCAGCTTCTCCCGTCGATCGCCATGGAGCCACAGTCAGAGTGTCACGCCCTGTTCAGTCTGCACTGAGGTGTACGACCTTAGACAATGTCAGTGTTCTTGGAGAAGCAAAATAAGTGATGATTTGCACCGACTTCTTAAAGTTCAACAAAACCAAATAATCCAAAGAGTAGAAAATAAAGTAAGTGGATTTGAAAAGTCCACAGTCAGAAAAGAAATTCTATGAGTCAACAATCTGAGTAAATGAAAACCAGAACTAAATAAGTAAAGATGTTCTTCTTTGTGTCCAAAATGTAAGTAGGTTGTTATTTGCTTCCGTGAACCACACCGTGAAGTAGCCTTTGGTAACTGCCGACTTTAAAGGGAGATTTGTTAGAGGCAGAAAAGCTCTGGGCACTACCTTGCCAACGCAGCAAGCATAAGACATTTACTTCCCATAACTGTTTACTTATCCGTATTATTTAAAGACTTCAGCAAGTACATACGCTCTAGGAACAGTTCATGGAGCTGTTCCTAAGAAAAGGAATAGCTAATGTTGGCAAAAATATGGAGAAAAAGGAACCCCCTGTTCACTGCAGCATTATTTATAATAGCCAAGACATGGAAACCACCTAAGTGTACATCAATGGATTAATGGACGTAGAAACTGTGATGTATCTATTCTATTCTGTGTGTATACACATGCACACACACACTCACACACAGTGGAATATTATTTGGCCATAAAAAGAAGAAAATCCTGCCATCTGCAACACGGATAGGCCTTGTGGGTAGGTATTATGCTAAGTGCCATAAGTCAGACAGAAGACAGATACCGTATGATCTCACTTATATGTGGAATCTAAAACAAAGAGACCAGCAAAATGAGCTCATAGATACAGAGGATAGCCAGTTGGTTTCCAGGGGCTATGAGGGATGGGTGAATGGATGAAGGTGGCAAAAAGGTACAAATGTCCAGTTATTATGTGAATAAATCCTGGGATGTAATGTACATCACAGTAGCTATAATGAATAATACCGTATCGCATATTTGAAAGTTTCTAAGAGAGTAGGTATTAAAAATTTCCATGACAAAAAAAAAAAACATTTTATGACTATATATGGTGATGGATGTTAACTAAACGTACTGTGGTGATCATTTTGCGATATGTACTTAAATCATTATGTTGTACATCTGAAATTAATACGTGTTAGGTCTCAACTATATTGTGAGTTGAAAGAATGCTGGATTGAGAGTCAGGAATTCTGGTTTCCAGTCCCAGATGTGTCTATAAAGAGAGGAGAAGGTAGCTACAGTTTGTGAGCATCTTTTCCATGTCGGACACTTAATATGCCATTTATTCAACTAGTAAACAAACAGCTCTACCTTTCGTTAACGTGGCCTCCTGTTCACAGTTGAGGCCGCAGAGTCCTGGAGAGGCTAAACAACTTGCCCAAAGCCAAACCTCTTGGATGTGGTAGAGTCAGAATTTGTACCGGGTTTTTCTCGTAAACTATTTCAATTTTTTTTCTGGACCTCGATTTTGTCTATAAAATAAAGGGATAAAGATTTAAATGAGTTACATCTGCATAATTTTTCAGAGAACACAAACTATTTCACAGGAAGTGACATCATGGCAGGAAGTCAAATAGAAACTGACAAAAACAGACACAACGATGAGGCACACTGAACTGAGTTAATATTTTCAAATATTGCTTATGGATAAGGCAGGTCATCTTCGCACAAATGCCTCATGTGCTGCATTAAGGTATTTTTAATAAGTTCAAATATGACATTATAGTGCTTGGACGATCACTTTCTCTTTCTAAAACCTCATTTGTTCAACAGACATGTTTGAGTGCAGTGATCATTGCACTACAATGTCGCTTTGGTGCCTGGATTGAAAGTTCAAGGGGAAAAGTTTGAGGACGGCTAAATGGACGCATTTCGATACACATCGTCAAGACAGAACAACAGAGCCTTGTGCTTATTCAGTTCTGTGTCAGTCAGCCTAATATGGGGAGATGCATGTCTTTCACAGGTGAAGAAGCTGGACAGCCCGGTGTGTGCGTTTCGCCGGCACATAATAAGAGCTTTGAAGCCAGATCCAGGCTGCCATGTCTTTCGAGGTGTCCCCTTCTTCCTCAGCATTTCTCCCAAGCAGAGGGGCATGAGATCTTCCCGTGTCACGATACCTATTCTGAGGATCAAAAGCCAACACTGCCTTTGGAGATGTGAATTCGGCATTCGGAGAAGTCATAAGGTCACTCAAGGAATACACACAATGAAAAGAAGAGAATGGATGACTCTGGAAAGCCATCAAAGAGGCAAGAGAGAGGGCATTCTGTGGCCAGGCAGCAAATAATCAAGGATCCTGGGTTTGATGTGTTTGAGAGAGCTGAACCACATCATTACCACGAAGCCGTAATGAGCTCCCGGCTCTGCCATCGTTCCGCCTATAAGTGCAGCTTCTGAGAGGGAGGCTGGATCCCCAGGGAAGACTGCGATTTGTTTGGGATTTTGCCCCCAAAGTGTAAGAATAGCTTAGGCACTAGGTATTCCTAATTTGTCGTAACTTGTGAGCGACTGGCTAAGTTGGCAGCTGCAGAGAGGCTGCGACTGCATTGGAGTCTAATAAAAACCCTCATAAAAGTTTTAAACTAGTTCACACCTCTGCAGTCTAAGGGGGCAGGGAATATTACCTAATCGGTGCCATCACCACGGCGGCCTCGCCCACCCGCTGGATACTGGCTGGAGGATGCCGGTGGGAGGGTACCCTGCCCCAGCCTCTCCCAGGCAGAATTTACGGCCGCTGGGAGAACCACAACCATCTTCAGAAGAACCTTGAGGGGGTTTATTTAAAGAAATGTAGCTAATTCTCAGGTTCCCATCATTTGCACTTGCAAAAATTCTCTGAACGGGTCTGAAGCCTGCCTCTTCGATGTACAGTTATCTTCACCAAGACACAAAAATTGATGTCTGGCATTTTAACGCACCCCCCCCAACACACACACACACACACACACAC